TGTGTGGGTTTTTTCCGGGTACTCCGGTTTCCTCCTACGCATGGTTGATTGATTGAACACTTGAAATTGTCCCTAGATGTGATTGTGAGCGCAGATGGTTGTTCATCTCTGTGTGCCCTGTGATTGGCTGGTAACCGGTTCAGGGTGTCCCCCGCCTACTGCCCGAAGACAGCTGGGATAAAGCGGTTCAGAAAATGGATGGATCTTCAATGGATATTGACAAACAACCATTATCATCCATTAAGAATGGAGTGTTCAGCACATATAAATGAATCTTTGGAATGTAGAAGGAAACCAGAGGACCTCGAAAAAATTGAATCCAACACATGGAGACCACGCAAATCCACAGAGGAAGGCTGGAGCCAAGATTCAAACGATGCACCTCAGAACTGTGAGGCAAGAGGCAGACGTGCACGCCACTCATTCACTGCCCTTCCCTCTTTTAACTGTGTAATATAAATTCATTTAATATACAATATGTTAACTGATATGTAAATCATCACCGTGACTTGCGTTTGAACTGCTTGAAGGTCTTTCAGCAACTGCTCACACCATCTATTTGTGGCGATCAAAAACCCGTTGTACATTTTACTCTTTTGGAGCGACTTTGCGGGTGGAGATGCAACACTTAAAAGTGGGATGCCTGCTTTGACCTTCTGAAAAGTGCAAGCTCACTTCTATGAGGTGCTTTTGTTCCTTCAAAGCAACTTTCCATTGAAGAAAAAAAAAGATTACTAAAGAGAAGACTGCGCTTTGAGTAACCTCTAGAAAAGGTGCTTTGATAATTTTAGAAAGCCATTGGACTTTGTCTGTGGAATCTGTTTCATTTAACACACTCAAAATTTTAGGTGAACTGTTCTTCACCCTTTTATAAGGCAAAGAGGCATACCTGGTACCTGAAGCCGGTGTTCAAATGGACCATCCGCACCCTAGTATGAAACTAGAACCATGAGTTCTTTCAGCAAAATATTGCTAACAAAAAAAAAAAAAATCATGAAGAAATTATCATAATAATTTGATTTAAATTGTACCAATTTATATTTCACATTCATGTTCACATTTTTCATCAATTCTTTTTCATTAAAATTGTATTTAATAACTTAAAATTTTATAAAATATTACAATCCTAAACGGTCACCTTTAAAAATAATACAATATTCCTCAAATGTTGATATTTATTTACTAAATTACAGAGCACCAGGTGTCTGCTGGGGATAAGACGTTTATCAATGACTATTATTGTTGTTTTCATTTTTATGAGTTTCTTGGTACAAATTTAATTCTGAAATAATAACGATAACTTTATTGATAACTGGGTCATTGACGGTGTTGATGTTCCCTCCTTGCCTCGTACAGGCAGAGTGGGTTCAGTTCTCACTCATTGACAGTTATTCAGGTGTTACAAAAACAAAAAACATAACATTAGCCCATTAACACGAAACACGTTTACACCTTTCCACATTTAAACGGTCAGAAAAGGTGTTATCGTGTTAATGGGCTCACGTTACACGAGTTTGGTGGAACCATGGGACAGGTTTGAAAAACGTAATGAGCAAGACATGCGCCACAAGAAGAAGAAAATATGACATAACGTGAAACAAAACAAAAGTACAGTCTAAAGAAAAACATAGATCAAGACAATTCAATGGAGAATGCGACAGTTCACACGGAATTTTTGAATGGTTAACATTCATTATGAACTATTGGATAGAATGTTGGATGTGGTGTGATAACCTTGATTTGAGGCTGCCCCAAAACCTCCTCCCGTGACTTCACCTGGACAAAAAGCTGCTATGTTTGGCGTCGCCCCAACTGAGCGCTGACGCATCTCATCTCCTAAATGTCACTTACTGTGATTACATTGTGGCCGTTCCTAGAACACAACAACCATTAGCGACTAATCGTTCCGGCAAGGCTACATAAAAAAACAATTAAACACCTTCCCTCTGGTTTTCAACTCATTTCATTGACAGAACAACTGTCTTAATGTTTATTGCTCACTGGAGCTGTGAGATTTAAATGGCCGCAAGGAAGGGAGAAGAAAAATTCAACATTTATGTGTGTTGTTCGTGTGGCCGTTAGCATGAAGCAGCCCATGTCATTGTGGCGGCGAGGAGCAAAGATTTGAAGCGGCGCTGTTGTTTGTCTGGTGAGGACGTCAACATAATTGGCATCATGAGAATGTTGCTCCCAATTAAACGTTTTGTTGCGTTGCCGCACAACAGAGCTAGCTTGTTTTTTTTTTTTTTTTTATTAGCCTTTTGCACTTGGCATTTTGGAATTAAGGGTTTGCGAAATCAGTTTTGGATCCCTCATTATTTTCATACGATGATGCTGAATTGGTCACATGTAGCGTCTGCATCATAACCGATTCATCTGCTCTACTGTATTTGACGGTTGCTAAGGATTCCGTTGATTGAGCAGAAGTGATTCTGATCGATTCAGTCTCAAGTAGTAGACACGATACAATGAGACTTCATTTGTTTTACAAATATATGTCACTTTTATACTGGTCAAGAATTTTATACAAAATATTTTAATCAGACATGCAAATAAAGTTTTTTTTTGGGTGATTCTGAATGTGCACATCAATATTTAATAATAATAATAATATGGAATATACTGGTAGTCATATATTTAGTGATATGATAAATCAGAATCAGAATCAGAATCATCTTTTAAGTCTTCCATTCAGCAACAGGTTGATTATTTTTTCTGAAACATCAGCTATAAATTACAACGAATCGTAAAATCTCTATTGTGTAAGCCCTTTTAGGTCAAACTTAAAACAAAACAAAACCAGAACCAAATCCTGGAAAAAAACAAGAAGTGAAAAAAATGTGTTTAGGGGCACATAAAGCCAATCTGGGATTAAAATTTGCGCCCCTCAAAGCCTATCTGCAAGACAATCAAAACATTATTTGATGTTTGTCAAAATAGATCTTTAACCCTTTCAGAGACAGCGGTTACTACAGTGGACAGTTTATCATGTTATCAGGTTGCAGGGTGCATGAAAGGGTTAATCTACTTCAGTTTCAGACATTTTAGTCGCCATTTTGAAGAAAACAGGATCGAATCAAGCTGTAAATCAAATGAAGAGGCAGTTAAGCCATGAGTTGTTGGGGTTTTTTGGTGGGGTTTTTTTGCAGTCTGGGAACGATGAACTCACTTGTTCCTACTTGCTCTCAATCCTCTGCAGTGTGTCCGTTACAGGCTCATTATGCTAATGCCCTTCCCTGCTCCCCACTGTGTTTGGCAGGCCAGTTGGCGATGGGAACCTGCGAGATAGTCATGCTCAACAGGGACAGCAGCGTTCCCAGACGAACCATCGCCAGGCAGACAGCCCGTTGCGCCTGCCGGAGAGGTCAGATCGCCGGCACCACACGGGCCAGGCCGGCATGTGTCGATGGTATGTGGACGATCATTTCCAGTCTTGTTTTCTCAATGGCAGACACATGCTACAATTTTTTAGTCCTACTCTTCCGAACGTATTTCAAAGGAGTTTTTCAAATGTATTTTGCGAAGGCCATTGAAGATGATATATAATAGTATTATTTATACATAGTATACCATGAGAAAAGTCTTCTATTGCTTTCGGAGTTTGTCGAGGGATGTTTTTGCATCTCTCCTATTCATAATCACATCCTTGACATCGCAATTTTTTTTTTCTTGGTAGTTCTGTAGACCATTAAATCATGAATTGTCAATAGTACAGCAGTTGAAATAGCAGCCACAGATGTCCATGTTGTGGAATGCTTTGGATCATGACGTGTCCTTTGCGGCTTTTTTTTTTTGTTTGCATTTCTTTTTAACGCCATTCTATTCTGAATGTTAAACCATTTCTATTTATTTCAGTTGAGGGGTCTCTTGATTGTAGAATTTTATGAGGATTTTTTTTTCTTTTTTTGTGAGACCTCCTGAATTAAAACTGAATGCCTCCATTTCAATCAGATCCAGATTATTTTATTTCAATTCCACTGTAGTGTTCTGTCAACTGACAGGCCAGATACTGACCTTGAATTTGATTTTTAGTTTGATTCTTAAAGTAGCTCCTCAACTCTTGACTTTTAAATGGAGTCTTACCGTGAATGGATTGAGGAGCTCCTGGCTGGCGATGTCAGCAAAGTGAATGCTTTCAACTTTTGGAATCACAACCCAGAGCACAGAAATCTCTTTCTGAATGTTCTAAACTCCTTTTTCAATACCAGTGCCGTATTGAGGTAACTAATAGACATATATATATATATATATATGATGCGCCACAATGTAAGTCTATGTTTATGTGTATCAACTTGCCATAAGTGATGTCATCTTTATATCGTGAACAAGTTAAGATTGAATCGGCAGCATCTCGGGCCCATGCTAATTTTTCTTGGCAGCTTCAAATGCAATTTGATTACTACGCCCATTCTTTTTCTTTGGCTTATATTTCTGGGCCTCAGTTAAACTGTCATACAAAGTCCTATTATTCATTCACTTTCATTGTTTTTAGTGTGCTGTTAAATCATCCCCCTTCCTCAGCTGTTTAATAACGGCAACTAATTAAGGATCACTCATGGCGTAGGAGGTGAGTTAGATAAGGTTTAATGCACGACGGCATGTCTGGGTTATCAGGCGTTATCTGGTGGAACGTGACAGATGGCCTTTAACGGCGGTTGACACCGTCGTGCTGATTGGATCTCCCAATATCACAATGACATGCACCACAAGGCCCATTAGTTCCAATGACTCACAGCATCTAATAGCCTCCAACGCGGCATGCGGTCCCACGGCTCGCGTCACGTTCCCCCGACATCGTTTCCAACCACCTCCGATGCGCAACAGACGCCCCCCCCATCCCTCTCTCCCTCTAAACACTCAACAGATACTAATTAACTTAGAGAGAACTATGATTAAAGCAGGAGGAAATTGATTTTCACTGGCTTCCCGCTGCACTGAACCCTGTACTCCATTAGTGGCCACCGCATTAAAGACTGAATCTGTTGCTCGCAGCGTCAGTGGAAGGCTTCCTGGGGACAGCTGATGGGGAATCATGCGGGTACATGCCAGTGACTGGTATAGATTCGATGTGAAATTTATTTATTTATTTGTAGAAGAGATACATTTCCTGCTGCTTTTTTTTTTTTTTTTTTTTTAGTTCATGGGCAATTTACGCACAAAATGATCTATCACTGTTGGTGAATTGAATCGTTGAATTGAACTTACCATGAATTGAATTGAACTGCTAAAGCCCCTATCCCACTGAAGGGTGAACAATTGCGACTGTGGGCGACATCAGTGAAATGAGCTTTCGCAAAATGTTCGCCAAACATTCGGCAACAGTTTTAATGTTTTTTTTTTTTCGAAACGCAATGAAATTTTGCACATGTTCAAAAACCCTTGCCACCAGGAATGTACAGCCGAACGTCTTACGACCGTTTAGCAAACCTTGGCGACCTTGAAAGAACCCTGACGAGAACACAACATTCACTGCTTTTGCGAATACAGTACTCGCAGTTGTTCGCCACTCAGTGGGATACGGGCTTAAGCGTACATTCGAAAAACATCACTTTAAAATCATTTAAGGCGTTCCACCCGTAAATCCTCACAAACCTTGAGGATTCATGACTGTGAGTGTTCCTCAGCATTGTCTTCTTCCGAGAAGAAGACCGAGAGGTCGGTGCTTGGACATCCTTCTGTACGCACTTTCCCAATGGTTGCTGGTGACCTTAAGCATTAGTTTCCAAGAGAGGAGTAAATAGCCAGTTAAACCTCATGGATTTGAAACTAACTTTATCTGCTGTATTGAACCGAAAGTAAAATCCACGGCTTACTTCCTCAAGTGTAGCCTTTGGGATGTTTTCACATTTACAACAGTGTGCAGCTGGTGGCTTAATGAAGGAGAACTGGGCTAATTCTTTTAATCTCTCCTCCCATCCTGTTTGCATTCTCACTTATTGACTCATGCACAAGTCCCTTAAAGTCCAAGCAGGTTTATATTTGTTAAGTGAGAGATACAGCAGTATTTTTTTGCAGCTAAAATGTTTCATGTTTTTATACTGAAGTCAAAATGCAATTTCGTTTTTTTTTCGTTTTCTATACTTCGTCCTTGTGAAAGGCCAGTTGTCTCCGTTGAACATGAGGTGGGTGCTAAGTGACTCATTTGTATGAGACAGAACTGACCTTTTCTGTATATGAAATATAAGATATAGCACAAATTGTTGGAAAGATAACAGAGTGAGGTTCCATTGGCCTGTCGTATTTAGCATGTCAATATTTCACTACATCCCCTGCCCCTAAATTTTGTTCGCCTTTCTGCTACAGTTAGTCACTATTTTAATAACTATTCATAGGCTAGACTAGAGAGGAGGTGTGGTTGTTATTCCATATTTTATTTGTCCACACACAGGGCATTTTAATGATACATTGTCAGTTCTTCTGTCGACAGAAAACTTCGTTAACACTTTTGTTGGAAGAGTTTTCAAACTTTTCATAGACTGTTCCCGCCGACGTCAATTTACACACAATGTTGAGTTTCGGGCCGCTGTATTTAAAGGCACGCACGAAGAGTAGAACATGAAGAGAAGCGTTATCCATTGTTGCCGTTATCGGCAAAGGTATGTTGCTTTTGGTTGACAGTATGACTACTTTAATGGTCTAAAAGTCGTTGTGTCTGGATAAATAAACTCGGCTTGATGTATGTCGAAGCTGTATTTCAAGCTAGCTAAGCTTGCTAGCTGCCAACAAAGTCGTGCTTGATTGCAAAACATCGCTCAGCAGTGTTTGTACTTCTTATTTAGCATCAGAAATTTTACATTGGGTTTTAATCAAGCGTTGTTTATGTTTCAAAACATAAGCTTCATTAAAGTGGTCTTCCTGCATCAGGAACAAATGAATGTTGAACAGAAATCCGAACTAAGACTTGCATGGGTATGCCAACAAATAAGCATCGCATCTGCCTTGAATGTTTTGATGGTGTAAAGTGGTCACGTCGAAGATTTGATAGCCGTGCTCGTCTTCTTTCTCTAGACTGATTTGTTTTTCTGGTATCAAAAAGAATGATTTATCTGTAGTTGACCGACAAGAACATTCGTAAACAGAACAGCTGTTCACCATTGTTGTGAACACAAAATGGAATTAGCGACTACTTTACCTCTGTTCTCAAATTCACTCGACCGGGTGCCCTCAAACATGGAAGGCTTTACACACCGCATACAAATGTGACATCACACGGTAAGGGTCTATTGATTGTGCATTTTCCCAATTTAACGGTCAATCTTTTTGAATCCAGGTCTCTTTTATCTCATGTTTGGGCCACAATCAACAACAACAATCTTAGCCTTTGTTTCGACCTTTTTTTTCTGATCATGTCTGCACAAAACATCTCCATGCTCTAATTCTAATCCTCTCCTCAAACTGTCGATTTTTCTCTACTGGCCTTCTTGCTGCCATACTGCCACTCCATTATCGCATGTGGCTTGATAGTCACCGTGATAAGAGTCGACGGTGGGACTGTGTTTATTCTGGCTCCAAAGTTTTAATACACACTTTGCAAAGAGGTCACACATGCTCATTTTAATTTTGCTGTTAGTGCAGCTTAAGCATTTCCCCGTTGTTTTGATAAATAATGTTTTCTGTTGTGCTAATTCCATGAGTGCTTCAAGCACAATTTACTGTGTTGTTTCCAGACTTTCAAGTTGTGTACAAGAACAATGTCTTAAGAGCTAAATGTTTATTTTTGTTTTTTTAATGGTGTGTGAGTTGAATTGATGCCAGGTGACGACTGGTAGAAAACAAAAAAAAAAATCAAAGAGAATGCTAACAAATATTGTTTTCACCACACTACGGCCCAATTTGGCCCAAATTTTTTCACTATAATTTGTGACAAATTCTTCTGTTTGAAGTTTTGGTTTTGTGCTACCAGGTACAATTGTCAGGAAACGTTTAGGGCACTGCGGTAAGTACAAATGGACAGGACAAACATGCATTGAATAAGTCAATGAATGTACTGTACATGCTAACCCCCCGCCCCCCCAAAAAAATGTTTTCCTGTCTTGAATTAAATTATTATAGCATGTTTGCACAAGCCCTACAAAAAACTTTGAAGAGTAACATTAGCACCAATGCTAGTGCTAACGCAACAAGAGACACGCCCTGGCTTGTCTACTATTTGTATTGACCTCTAAAGTAGTTGACAGCTGGGGCAATGACATTGGCTTTTTACCTTATTCGTAGTCAGGTTTCGTATTTCCTCCTCATCTAAAAAAACAATGCTGAAGAAATCATGAAAAACCTAAAGGCACTGTTGCTTTAAAAAAGAGGAACATGGGGTAAAACCAAATTTTAGTTCCAATGTCAAAACAATCTGGCACTGTTCTGGCTTTATAGTGGTCTACCTACTAAACCACAATTTGACTAGTTGAACGGCTTCAGCCTGGATCAAGTCACGGCCCCGCATTGAAGAAGTAACAAGGTCACAGCACAGTGCGACAGCCCGAAGACATTTATTTAATCTGACCTGCGCCATTCTGGGATGAATTCAGTCCCCGGTTAGTCAGCACTCCCGCCGCTTTGCTAACTCAGCCCTTTTTTATTTTCTCAGCTCGGGAAATTGAGTTTTGCTGGCCACAGTCCTGTACTTTGAATTACATGTGCAACTGACTGATAAATTTGTACTCCGGCGGCGGAGGCGTTGTTGGAATGAAAATTCACAGAGGCGTTTTAGGAGGAAGGTCACTGGAGCGCTCCAAAAAATGTTTAGTGTGAGATTCCAGGTACATGATGTAAAAAATACTCTTAAGCCTTGTTGGCTTTAATGAGATAACTTGTCTCTTGATGGTTTTATTACTCTGCTGCACCATATTCAGTGAAATATGATACACCCCACTTGCTCTTGCGGTTACACACTCAGCTCTTCTAGACATTTGACAACTCGTTATCCCTTTATTTCAATCTGTTGACCATGTTAGTTACCTTGTTCCACAAAAGGCTGCGCATGGGAGGGAAGGGGGGAAGCAGGACCAGGCCAGGTCCATTGAGAGCTGATAACCTTTGCCTGTTTTTTTTTTAAACACACTGTGGAAAGAACAATCAGCTCTTATCGGTGTGCGCCACAGGCGCGATGGTAATTCAATGTTATGCAGACTGCGCTCAGAGAAGCGACGAGAGGCGTCACTCGCAAGATGACTGCGCCCTCCCGTTGTCTGTAGCAGACTGATAGCTTGAATATGCTGGCTCTCCATTTGTCTTTTCTAATCTGCTCCTCTTTCCATGATGTGCACTGGAAATGTTTGTGAGACTTAATTTCAGGGTCAGCACTTATCACATTCAAACAAATAATCATAATAATATTCTCTCTGCGGCTTACTGTTTGAACATTGCACGAATATAAACTTTCGATTTGTTGCTGTTCAATACCAAACCACCTTTGAGTCACGTAAAAGAGAGTGAAATTTAAGTTAAATGCTATCGCAACATTCTTCTATTCTCCTGTTCAAAAGAGTTTAGAATTTTCTGTCATTAGCAGCAACAAATGACTAACTTCATTTTACACCTGTGTGACAATTCAAAATGTTTTAAAAAAAAGATGGTGTGAGGCAACTTTGCATTCAGTATTTGTCATTTTTACACGTTAGCAATGTGAGAATGCTAAAATGATTCCAGATTCAGATTATTTCTTTTTGCACTAGTTCCTTTGACAAATACAAACTAAACGTTATTCGTCCTGCAATAAGGAAATGCCAATTTTACAGAAGCAAAGTCATCATTAGCAGTCCACAATAATAAAAATCACCAAGTATCCTTGACACTCTGCGTTTACCGTTTGAATGTGCAGCAGTGTTTGTGGCAGCTGTGCGTGAATGAAAAAATACAAAATATTTCCAAAATCAAAACAATCTGCCCAATGGGAGGGAGTTCAACAAGCATCCAAGTGCGTATTTTTTATTTGATTTTTGGTGACCTCCTGCCTCATACTATGCTTGGCAATCAAGTAATAAAAAAAAAAAAAAATCCTCACATAGTCATAACGATGCTGTCAAATTTAATTAGAATCTCCCTCTGCCAGGTAGTACCTAACCCGTGTCTTCCCCCCCCCCTCCCCCCTCCCAGCGAGAATCGTGCGGAGTCGTCAGTGGTGTGAGATGACCCCCTGTGTGGAGGGCGAAGTTTGCAGCCTCCTTTTCAACCGCTCGGGATGGACCTGCACCAGAAGCAGCGGACGCATCAAGACCGTCACGGTAACTTATGTCGCCTTATACAACTCGATGATAAAGTGTATGCACATGACCTCAAGTGTTTAATATCCGTTTTTCGATCCAAGGGAGCGGACGGTTCCACTGATAGTAGAGTGATTATTTAAAAAAAAAAACTACGAACTTTTGAAAATGACAATCCCCCAAAACCAAGCTTTTGTTTTCATTTGTGGGACATCTTCTGACATTTTACCATGCCGTCACACATTATTGCGACGTGGCTTCACCACTGTCATCATTAGTAAACAAACCCTTCCGTGTCATTTGACCAGCAGAGCCTTCTTTTCGTTTGCCGTACTTTGAATGTGTGAAGTGTCAATCAAAAAGACATTAACGTGATGTTAGCTGCTCGGAAGGGAGATGAATTTTCATTTCCTTGCTTTCTAATTTGGATAGCTGCGATCACTTGAGCTCGACTTTTCTCTTGCTCTGCCATTCACTTGGTTTTGAAGACCAGCAAAGACGCTTACGACAAGAGCTTGAATTTGTTTGAATGAACCAAGTGGTGAGTACCTTATCTTATGAATGATTTGGTTTGTACAGATGACAAACAATGAACATTTCTTTTCACTGAAACAAATTTGAAGGCATTCAGGTCCATATCTTGCGGCTGAGCCCTCATCAACACAGAAAGAGAGCCGATCTATTTCTTTGTTTCCTCCAAGCGCAGAATTGTTTCAATTGTGTCCATGAAAAGTTGTTGGATTCAAGAACGTGTGGAATATACTTTGTGCTCTTCTCCACTTGTTGCTGACGCTGGTAGAAGAGGAGCAAGCGATTTTGCTCTAAAAGCGGAATCATGCTCGGCAGCTTTTAGTTGCTGCTGCTGGCGGTGTCGTTCGCGCACGTTTACGTGCCAAGTGATACAGTCCTGTCATGGTCTCGGGTAAGATAGCACAAAAGATGATCATTTATGGTGCCATTGCTTGTGTGCCCTTTTTTGAAATACTTCACTGCACCATGACCAAAGACACAGGAAAGCTCAGATACAGTTTGAAAAATCAGCATGGTTCTTGTCCTCAGGAGATTTGCCATCATGCTCAGGTACACAACATCAGAAGGAAAGATGCAGCTTTTTTTTTTTTTGCTGTTGATCTTTGCTCTTTCTCTCTTTCTCACTTGCAATCTCTTCTTGTCTCTTGCTCGCTCATCCGCCTCCTCTGTCCGACTGCCTCGGGCATCTACGGCAGATTTCACGCATGCTTTGCACTTGTGTCCTAATCTATTCTGACAGCATACTTAGGTTCATGTTTGTGTATGTATGCTGCCTGCGCGTGTGTGCGTGCGTACGTGTGTGTGTGTGTTTGTATGTGCTACACACACAACCTGTGCGCTTCTCTACATCTTTTCAATTAGCATGGCTGAGGACAGGTACAGTTAATTGAGATGATGGCGATGGTTTTAGGGGAAACAAGGTTATGAATAATAAGACATGGAAGTGGGGTTATGTAAGCACTAGCTGGAAGCTGAATGTGAAATAAGATCCATAGTGAAGCTTAATTAATACAGAACCAACCACTTTGTAGACTACACTGTCTTACCGGCTGATTTCCTTTTTTTTTTTTTTTTTTTTTTCAGTGATTCACTCAACCACACACACACACACACACACACACAAACACACACACACACACACACACACACACACACAGTGCGGAGGTGCAGGATTCGATTCCGGGTCCGTCCTTCCTGTGTGAAATTTGCCCTGTGCCTCCGTGGGTTTTCTCCGGGTACTTCGGTTTCCTCCCACATTCCAAAAACATGCGTGGCAGGTTATAATGGAACACCCTAAATTGTCCCTAGGTGTGAGTGTAAGCACAGATGGTTGTTTGTCTATGTGTGCCCTGCGATTGGCAGGCAACCAGTTCAGGATGTCCCCCGCCTACTCACCGAGGACAGCTGGGATCGGCTCCAGCATGCCCCCGCGTTCCTTGTGAGGATAAGTGGCTCAGAAAATGGATGGATTTTACGTTCAGTACTACACCAAAACCCAACGAAAGAGGTGATTTCCACGTGGATGGACACTGAGGGGCATCTTCTCCCGTGAGCTTCAATCAGAATAGGCTCATAGTTTCACATCTTTCTGACACCAAACATTCTCCCATCAACTGAAGTCTGTCATTTACACTCTCATGAAAGCGGCACGCCGCTGCATAGCTCAGAATCTGTCTTCACGCAGCTCAATTAAATTCAATAAAATTTGCTCCAATACTTAGATGTGATTCCAACAGGCGTCAAGTTTTCTCTATTTTCAGCTTTGCGCCACCCAATGGTCAGGCGCGCTGGGGGCGTCACTGCAAACGACCTCGCTATGCTTAAACCCCCAGCGTGCCACAGAGCCGTCTGACAAATTCCCCACAATGAGGTTTGTACTGGCACAAAAATCAAGATGCACCGGTTTTTACATTCAAGCTAACCTGCGCAGTCTACGACTCTAGAGACCTGATAGTTTCCAAGATCAGACGGAATGTCTCCTCACTTGAACCGAATCAAATGACACGGCAGCCTTCGGGAGGACAAATGTAGATTTGTGAGAACTGCTGACGATGCCGCTCTTATTCATTCTCGGATCTGCTACGCGGACCGAGCCTTGCGCTTGAACGCTGACGTGCTCCCTTGGAGGATGATTCACAAGTTTTGTAAGCCAATGAAATGAGTCACTCTTCTGTGATTCAACACATTTTATGATGCACTACTTTGAAACCAGTGTATGTGTTTTAGGGTGAAGGGATTGGTCACCAGTCGATCGCAGGGCACATAAGTGATTACCCCAAAAAAATGATCTTCCGATTCCAAGTTTGTTTTTTTTTTTTTTTTTTTTTGCATTTTGAGCAATAAATTTAGCTCACACTTCGCATCTCATTGGTCTCATTCAACCTTTTTGCAGTTGCATTATGGTGAACTTGTGCAGTATTTTGTTCTTTTACGTTTTAAATGAGATGTGCCTCCTGCACCTCTTACCAAAAAAAAAAAAAAAAAAAGAACTCTTGACATGAATGAGCTCGATTCTGGTAAAATTACTGACATTAGGCCGCGACTAGCACAGTTCATTGAGTACAATGCATAAGGCAGTGAGGGGAACAACGTGTAAAGATATCGTTTGAACCACATCCCTTTGTACTGACAGGTTGGTACATGCAGTAAAAAAATGAGCCCAGAGAAAAATAAAGGTATTTTAAATGGTCTTATTTCTATCCAGCCGGAAAGTGTTGGCGTGGAATATCAGTACTAAAAGTCATTAGAGCAATGTTGACGTCGTTAAAATTCAATGACCGAGGATTGGATTTCTGGTATTAAATATGAATGCCATACAATATGTGCTCTGTCCTCCAACGTTCTGTCGCTGCTGCCTTTCAGTCTCATTTGCGGAGGAATTTATTTGATCTTGTCCAACAGCAAGTAAGCATAACAATGGCGCATTTACAATGCAGTACAAAGCGACTGTGATGCGGTCAAACAAGCACTGCTTTTACTTTTCGAACGGTTGAATCAGCATACTAATGCTGCTTTTAAATGAGGCAAAGGACCGTGTGTTCAGCTTTTGGATTTGCTCGCTTGAGATTTCAGTCTTCGTCATACATATGTTAAAGTACTGTAGTTACCATATTTTCCGCACTATAAGGCACACCTAAAAGCATTCCATTTTCTCAAAAGCCGGCAGTGCGCCTTGTAATCCGATGCTCCTGACATATGATCAATATTCAGATTTTTTGGGGCATAGTTTCCTAAATGTCCTGCGGAGCGCTTTGTTACATCTGCAGCGGTTGTGAAGGCTCTTTAGAAATAAAGCTGTATTGTATTGCATTGTATTCCTTTTAGCGCAGCTCCATCTAGTGGATGCATGAACCAACTGCAGCCATGGCTCAAATATAAATAAAGCTGTATTGTATTGTATTGTATTCCCTTTAGCGTAGCTCCACCTAGTGGATAACCCAACCACAGCCAATATTCTATGCGCCTCATAATGCGTTGCGCCCTACATATGAAAACTGTTTTAAAATCGGCCATTCATTGAAGGTGTGCCTTATACTTCGAAGCACCTTATAGTGCGGAAAATACGGTACATTATTTTTGTTGGTTGACATGTCTCTTTCCAACAATGACTTAACTTTTACGCGATGTGGTGACTGAATGAGACGTAGTGTATATAAGAGAAATTGAGTGACAAAAGGCCGTCTTTGCATCTACCTTCACCTTATTAAATTTTAGTGTAGCTCATTTTTGTTTGGTATTTATTCCCACCTTCTTTCATTTATGTACAGTATGTGTTATTTGTTGTTGTTTCCTTCCATCAGCTTTGGGCTGGAGGTCTTTTCTCTGGCTAGTATGTTAGAGGCTGTACGCGCTCCCTTGTGTTGTCACATCGAGCACACTTTATCCTTCTGCTCTTTTTTGAAGTTCTGTCATCGGCAGCCTTTGAACTGCCACTTGTGTTTTAGCTCGTCCCCAGAGGTTCATCTGGTGTGAAATTGTTGGAGCTAAAGGCCACGTTTCAACACTGAGTCTTGATAGCACTTCAGGCAAAGAAAAGCCTTTCACTGGGTGAGACACGCTAAAGCTCTCAACAACACTCTGCACCTTTTTTTTTTCCTCTCAAAACTACTAGTGGCATTGAGGCAGCACGATGGCTGGATGGTTAGCCTGTCTGCCTCACAGTTCTGAGTTTCAAAGTTTAAATCTCAGCTCTGGCCTTTTTGAAGAGTCTAAATTGCCCGAAGGTGTAAATATGAGTGTAAATCTTGGCCAGTGTGTGTGCCCTTTGATTGGCCTGTGATCAGTCCAAGGTGTACCACGCCTCTTGCCCAAAAGTCAGGTAGCATACGCTTTTGCTCATCCGCAGCCTTAGTGAACATAAACAGTTTAGAAAATGGACGAATGGAAAGAGGTATTGAAACTGATGAGCATTTATATGTGACAATGCATCTACACGAGTTAAGTGGAATTCAGCAACTAGGTGATGAAGTGGTGCCTCCATAGGTGAAAATACGAATGATCAGAATCAGACGTATTGGCCAAGTATGCCCAAGCCAAACAAGTAACATTCTTGATTCTTGTTTGACTTCAGACGACCAGTTCCTCAGCTTTATTTTATGTTTTCACACCTGGATACATTGGATTCATCGTTTTTAAGAGATTTTTTTTACTTGATCTTTGTGAGCAAAACAATGTGCACATGTTTGCGGGTGACATTCTGTGGATTTGGAACGACTTGACATCTTAAGGCGGAACAAAAATTTTGAAGTGTTTGCTTCAATGGATTCTCTTCTGATATTAAAAATGCAAAACTATTCATCAGCTGAGCTTTTGTTTGTGAAACACAATGTTTCTAAAATAATAATTATAATAATAATATTTTGTTCCTGAATTATGCCATGTCGATGAAGAAAAGTAGCTAATTGATTGCCTTTTAATATTTCAGCACCGATCTTCAGTGGCGCCTTCTGAAAGATTCTGCCGGCGTGCCTCATTTGAACTGCGAGACTTGATCATTTATTTACAACACTTGATGTTTACAAGTCAGGTTGAAAAGCGTGCACCTCCAGCTCAGAGAGGCGGTCCAAAAAATGCCCTGAATTACACAACAAATTGCTCGTGAGGGAAGCCCTCTCGTCCCGCATGCCAGCAGGAAATCGATATTTTCCAAGTCCAAAATTTGTCAGGTTCCGGTTTTGTTAGCAGCCATGGATGATGAGCCCATTTCTTGCAGTGTCTAGTCCACATTCATTTTGTTGCCCTTTTAATTCGTGGGAACAATTCATTGTGCTGCCTCTCAGCACTCTGCTTCGACTTCACGAGGGTCTCAGATCGATAACTTAGACCTGAAGAAAGAGACAAGGTCCTTAGTTGTGAGGCCAGATGCTATGAAATCTCTGAATGTCACGTTGCGTACTAGGCAGAAAGAGAGAACTGCTTCGTACGCAACAGAGCGAACAAGAGTAGGTGGATCCCCGAAATAGCAGGCACTGACAAGGTCTTGTCTTAACAAATAATATTTATTACAAACGAAAAAACACCGTCAAAAGGAAAACAGAAAACGCTGGTCAAAACGAGAACCAGGAAATAATGTAACTTGAGAAAAAGAAAGCGCTTGCAAAAAACGGCAAGGAAAAGATAAGACAATTTACTCGAAGAACTATGCGTTAAAGATAATCCCACTGGGATGACGAAATAGTAGCGAACAGCAATAGAGTACGAATACGAAATACGAGCATGGGCAATTTGCAGTGGCACGGCAAGCAATACTCCGGCAATGAGTCGACAGCCGGAGCGCCTAGATATAGCAGGTGGAATCACAGAACAAATGCGCAACAGGTGTGCAGGCGGCAGAATGAATGCCTGCCACCTGCTGTCAAATACGGAACATGACACTGAAGAGGTAAACAATATCTCCAGGTAGCTGATCAAGCTACACCTGTGCTTTACAAAATAATAGAAATAAAATGTAACCCCTTCAAGTGTAAAATTGTCACCATCAAGTTACATTCGTAAAAGTCATCGTGTCAAAGTAACTTTAATAAAATAAATTGATATCCAATATTGCTGCATGTAGAATAGAAACAAAACTTTTCACCCTGGTAAAAATGTGCCTTTTGTTTGTGAGCCTCTCTGGTCATTTCCATGCTAGTCATTAGTCAAATTGCTTTTGGCTTGAATTCAATGATTAACATCAACGCTCCTGTAAAAAAGAAAATAAAAGTCTTATAAATTTGACATACCACAAGGAGCGTTGGTAACAACACTGCCAAATATGAATGATGATAAAAATTGCAAGCGCATAAAATGAGTCTTCAAAATCAAGACTTTCAAATGGTGTGGGCGTGTTCGATCAATGTGTTGAAACCACACTGCATTCAACTGTCAATCAAATTACACTACTTCTACTAAAGGGCCTGTATTATGCTATTTTAAACTTTCCACGGTTAACATAAGTCATATGTGTGATTTTATATTACCGTTGGCACAATGGTGATCTTAGCACATTGGGCTCACAGTGCAGAAGGTGCAGGGTTCGATTCTGGCTCCGACCTTTCTGTATGGAGTTTGAATGTCCTCCCCATGCCTGTGTGGGTTTTCTCCGGGTACTCCGGTTTCCTCTTACATTCCAAAAACATGCATGGCAGGTTAATGCAACACTCTGGTCTAAATTGTCCCTTGGTGTGAATGTGAGCGCGGATGGATGTTTGTCTCTGTGTGCCCTGCGATTGGCTGGTAACCGGTTTAGGGTGTCCCCCACCTACTGCCTGAAGACAGCTGGGATAGGCCCCAGCACCCCTTGCCACCCTTGTGAGGAGAAACGGATTAGAAGATGGATGGATGGATGAATGGGATGTTTGACTGAGCAACTGGAAGAGGGACATGATTACCACCACTACATTGCATCATCATATTTTCTTCTATGACATAACCGGTCAAGTCAAAGGAGGAGGGGGGAAAATACAGCTGATGCATTCGATGCTGACAGAGATGACTCTAGTAACATTGATCTTGTGATTCAGATACAGCTGTAAAATCTACCGTGGTTCTTTGAGAGAACTCAAACAGCATGCTATTTTCCCCTTAAAGCCACCTTGAGCTGGGGCTTCTCCATAAGCATATCCCCTCTTTTGGTCTTTGCCCATCAAAAGGGTTAACAAGGTATCACAATCCATTGTATTTGTTCCTCTTGTCCAACCCTTTCTGAACTGCTCCGTGAATGTAATAGAAAGCCAGAGGTTTGCTTTGCATCGCAGCCGTCGTGGCTCGTATCCCTCCGGGCAGCCTCATTTTGCTCCTTGTTTTGATTTAAAGATGCAGTGGAAGTACTTAGCATTTAGATGACATGCCGGAGAGAGGTGTGATGGATCAACAGCTCTTCAGAGGCCTGAATTCCGTCACCGGCCCGGCGAGCCGGTCTTACAGATGGACGAACCGAGTGACAGATCACAGGACGAGAAGCCGGGTTGGCTGCGGAATACCAAGTCCGCACAAACGACTGAAACAGAATGCCTGGCACAACCAAGAGGAGAGCAGCGGAATGCCAATGCGGCTCTCCCAACGCTTGCCTCGCCTTTGCTCCTCTGATTGGCTAAACACATCATTAGCTTCGTGATTATGATTAGCTGAGTCATTATCTCCACAAAAGTGGCTCATTCACCAATATTAAGACGACAAGGAAGCTGCTTGGTCCCAACAGTCAAGAGGAAAGAAAAATGCCAAGATTAAGCCGTTGTTGGCGGTGCACCTCTACCTAAAAGTCAAGCAAAACTAAAAGAAAAGCGTACTTAGTAACCTTCATCTTCCATTCCTTCAGCTTGTACATCATTAGAAGACATACCGTGTGTGCTTTTAAATGAACACATGCTCTGCACCAGAGGCCAGCATGTTGAGGGAAGGTTTAATAAAACATTTTTTTAATGCCAATCTACCTTCTTTTGCAGCCTTTGCCCAGGGAGCCATCGTAGAATGCAGCGGTGGGAAAAAGACCACCTGCAAGTATGTGAGTATTATATTTATTCGGTGGAGACAGAAATACTAATCACAGGCTCTATTTTTTAGCGCTTTCAGGGACAGCAGTTACTACAGTGGATAGGGTTAAATATAGAGATTATTATGTTGAAATCGAATGTTTTTTTTAAGGTTTCTAGTACTGCCTACATCTTCTGACATTTAAAACGTTGACCTGTCAGCTATTTCTGATTATTCATGAAACCACGTTTTGAAAATAAACTAAAACTAATGAATGTAAAGAACTGATCACAAACATACCAATACTCATGCTTCCTTTCTATTAAGCCATGTTTACGCAAATCTAATTTTTTTTCCCCATGTGTACTTTATTGTCCATCTCGCGTCGCCACGCCCAAGGCGCAACTGGCCTAACACAAGTTATAATTGAAAGTCATATCTCGTCAGAGTGTTACACTCAATCTGCTTGACTTTGCTGGAAGGTTTCTATCCCTTTCCTTTCTCAAAAAAAAAAAAAAAATAGAAAACATATGAGACATTTAGCTTAGTTCTTTTCCCAAAGCTGTGTCTGTGAAGTTTTTGTATTCGACAAATCCAGAGGCTTCTGTAAGATAGATTTCCCCTCTCCCGCCGAGAAAACAAAATGAATCATGCACAATTACCAAGGACACTGAGAGAAGGCGTGATTGGGGGCGCCATAAATATTTATTTGCCGGTACTAGGAATTTATACTATATGGATTTGCCACATCCCGTTTAGGTGTCTGAATGATTTATTTACGCAATCCTGGGTTTGTCGACTCTTAGGGTCAGCCATGTATGTATTAGCATTTATGGATTTATCCATCATACACTGTCGACGTCGATTATCGTTCAAATGGGTACTTGATCGCATGATTGGCTAAATGAAGTCATCAACTGACCTTTCTCTTTATTCAGTTCTTTGTGAAGTTCACTTTTTCAAGGTTTTGCTGTTTTGACATACATTGCTGGTCTTGCGATTGCTTCTCGGCACTCCAAAATGGATGCCCGTTTCATGAAGATTTTAGCTCGTCAGTTATACACATAGAGATTTGGTGAATTGCACACAACTCAAAGGAATGGAATGTCAGGCTAGACATGAAAACACAATTTAATGGCACTTAACTGATTTAAGTGCCACTCACACACACAAAAAAAAGTCTGGCTCAGTCTGAACATGTTCAACTAAATGCAATCATCTATCGTGTACACAATATGATTGCGATGCAAAATCTCTTTGAGTCATCATGAAGTGGAAGGACAAAATGTTATCAGACACTGATGAAATACTTCATGAGTGTGTAAGGTGTTCTTGTGTCTCATCATTTGTGGCTTCCCGCTCTTTGTTTTTTTTTCTCAATGGTTTGTTCCTTACCAGGTTCCCTGATCCATGCTGTGAGACAAGCTGCGGCCATTCACTACAGAGCATTACGTCTGTCCAACAAAAAGTTTCACAAACTCGACATCATGCCTTGAGCCTCTCTTTTTTTGGGCTTTTTCTTTCTGGTAGTTTCAGCATCAGCCTTGACACTTCTGCAGCCACATTTAGAGACTAAACATTGAGCGGTGTGTCAGCGGTGAAACATTCTTCGACAAGTATTGGAGGACACTGCCCGCAAGACTTTATGAGAAGATCTTTTCCTAAAATCAGCCCGTCCATCTTCTCCCTTTGCCAGCACTGAGGCCATCCAAGATGATTTTACAACTATCCGTATGATACTGACTCACCGCTAACTTCACCCAGGCCACTGATGAACCCACAGCATTCACTAGGATGTAGCCAGCAGACACTCGGCGTGAAGAGCGAAGGATATTGTGAGCATGGACGTCTACTTGGATTCTTACTGGGGTGGACACATCACATGTGAAAATGACTGACACATGTCCAACCCTGTCAACAAAGGTCACCACATGGCCCTTTTGAATGGCTCGTCATCCAACATGTTATTTTTTTTTTTTTAAAACATAGTACAGTCAAACCTCGTTTTTTTTCCATAGTCCGTTCCAGAAGGCTGTTCGAAAACCGAAATTGTTCGAAAACCGAAACCACGCTCTTTTTAAAATAAAAATGTTTACTGAACACGTCTGCTCACAATGGAAAGCTACACGAGGAAGCGTCACTTCCTCGTCTACCCAAGGAAGAGGAAGCGTCACTTCCTCGTGTCAGGAAGGCGAGAGGAGTCAAATGGTGCATTCAAGTGCACTCAGTTTGTTCGAGAACCGAAATTTGTTCGTCATCCGAGGCATAAAAAACTCGAAATTTTTGGTCGAAAACCGAATTGGTCGAGAACTGAGACGTTCGAAAAACGAGGTTTGACTGTAGTTGGATCATTTTTGTCAATGAAGCTCACTTCATCAGAGGAATTTCTAATAACAGACCTCTGGCTCAGTGCGAGCGCTGTGTGTGTGTGTGTGTGTGTGTGTGTGTGTGTGTGTGTGTGTGTGTGTGTGTGCGGGCACATCCAGGGATACACTGTGAAATAAATTATATCAAACGTCATTGTTCATCCACTTGTATTTTTGCCCACACCCAGAATGGAACGGAAAGGACTCTGATTCAAGCCCCACTGTAAAGATAAGAAGGAAAAAACTCCACTATTGGAACAAAATTCTTGAACTGGGGGAAAAAAAGCCTGATTTTGTGTTAAAACACCTGTGTCAAACTCAAGGCTCGGGGGCCAGATCTGGGCCGCCACATCATTTTAGGTGGCCCACGAAAGCAAGTCAAAATGTTGTCAAGTTACCGGGTAAATTTGTACAAACTTGACAAGCGATGAAACAGTGTTGACACATCAACATCAGCAGCAGAATGAACTCCTTTTAATGTGTAAATGTTTCAAGTACGCATTGAACTCACCTCTGATGTTTGTCTTTGTTCAATCACGAAGCAGAACTGTTTTTCAACAAATATGAAAAGATATTTGATGAGGACGAGTATGTGACACGTCTCTCCAGACACACAGCCAGTGCTGATCTCAGACCTTGGCATTTGGTGAGAATTTTGATATTTACTTGTTAACATGGCAACATAATTTCTATGGAGGAATTATTTTCTCTAAAAAAAATATCATACTCATACTTTTTTTTTCCAGGAGAAAAGAATGCTACTTTTGTTCTTACAACTTTAAGACATTTCTTCTTGTAATGTAACTTCTTTTTTTTTTAAGTGTAGCCCAAATACTTCTTTGTACACCGTACACAATCTCGCACTAAATTGTGTCCTTGTGTTGAAATTGCAAAGCGTTTGCACAATTGCTTTTTTTTTTTTTTTAATCTTATTTTTTTGCATTGAAATATTTGTATTGAGGTGGCGGAACAGAAATATAACTGAAAGTAGTAGTAGTAAAAAAAAAAAAAAAAAAAAAATCTGCTATCCAGTACATTTCCTATGTGATGTATTTGGGGGCACTGGTCTAAAACCAAGTCTATTTTGATATGAAATCTTTTATTGATCTGAAAGTATTAGCTGCCCTCAGATGCTTGATATATTTGACATGATATACTGTATATATAATTAAAGTACAATTGTGGTACTTTTTCAATGGATGTCATCATAAGACATAAAGAACACTGAAAATATGCGTTAGAGACCCCCCTTCACTCATTATCTTCACTTCAGCTGTTGGTTGCTAATGCTACGAAGAGGTTAACTCATCGATCACAAAAGTTGAAGCAAGACTTCAACAATTCATTAATTATCACGCCAGTCATTCTAAATAGTGAAATTCTGTTCAGACCACATCTCAAAGCTGTAGCGATGGCAATTCGGTTACGTTTCACTCATAATGTTTTCAGAATAAGAGTATGATCAAACACTGCTTTGTCCACTTCATATTTTTTTCCAGTTGCCTTAATCAAATGAGGAAGTACAACAGTGATCAGATTCATTTTCTTACCAGAAATGTTGATCGATCAGTTTGTATGATTAGCAGTCCCGAACCTTTTTTGCGGATTCGCTCCTTGCGGTTACACGTAAGCACCAGAAATAAACAGTGGGGGGGAAAAAAGTATGCAAGGGCCAATATAATCAAGCACTAAATATCACCGCCAAAATGCTGTAATCACACCACCTTTTTGATCAACTGGCAGACCTTGCTCGTAGAGAAGACCTTCGACCAAGTAAAAGCTAAACTCACTAAAAGTTATGGCGTTGGGTGGCATAATGTGATTTGAGCTCTGTTAATATGCCTTTTGGATTTCACCTTATTTTGTTCATAAATATAACAGTGTACCTCAGACCCTATGAATCATTGTAGAAATCAATCCATTGAATGCATTATTATCATTATTATTATTGTTAACACACAGACACGCGATTGTGGGTGGAAGGTGGTCTCCAAGTGCCCACTTTACTGCGGCCAACTTTATATGATCCGCAAGTGGAGATCTTGCAGTTGTTTGTTGTGAGAGGTGGAAAAGCCACCTTGTTGTTATTCCTGTCATTAGTTAGCGAGCCTCATGAGCATTTTCCATCTGCCTTCTTTTGTCTGAATGATCGAATCACAGTTGTAATGTTTGTTGAAGGTAAAAATCACCAGTGAGTTATTTGAAAAACAACAAAACAAATGACATTATACATAAGCTGAAATCTGAAAAATAAATGAGTATTTTCTAGGACAAAAGCATGTCGAGCTGGTGTCCCTGTTAATGTGATGATACCCTTATTTTTTCTTTGCCTGTTTATTTCTTTTTTTTTTTTTTGCTGTTGTTTATTTGTACTTAAAATCCTGTATATCTGTGTCGTAATGTATGCATTTGAGAATATAAAGTGAGCATCTGCTTGAGGGAAAACTGACTTTTCACTGTGTTTGTGGGTGTGGGTGTGTGCCACTATTGTAGCTTCTATTCTATGCACCTTATAATGCCGTGCGCCCTATCTATGAAAACATTTTTAAAATATTGAAGGTGCGCCATGCCTGTTTTTGGAATGTGGGAGGAAACCGGAGTACCTGGAGAAAACCCACACAGGCAAAGGGAGAACATGCAAACTCCACACTGGAAGGCCGGGGCCCAGAATACAGCCCATGACATCTGCACTATAAAGCGGACATGCTAATCTGTTGACCATTACAATGTATGTTAATATAAATAAACAAAATATACAGATTACTATAATTATTATTTAATTAATATTTAATTGAAAAAATAATTTATATTAACATTACGCTGTGTAAAATGGTGCTATCTTACGATTTGGATTCTGCACCCGTGTTTTGAAAGAAAACAAAATCAGAGACAAATTGGAATAATACTGAACAACAAAAGGCTGTTGTTTGTTTGTTTTTTTTCCTTCCAATGAAACTAAACTGGAACAAAAAAATCACAAGAATATAGCAGATGATAATACAGTCTACTACATAATTCATGACAACGGCTGCATATTACATTACACCGGTTGCCCTCAGCCATCGTGCAGGGGATAATCCACGCTGAGGGGGTGCATTTATTGCTTCGCTCAAAGCAGACTTTTTCTAAATCTACATGCTGCATCATGAATATTCCAGTAAAATGTTTGTGAAATGGGAAGCGGAAAGCTTGATGTGTTTTAAGCTTCAGTGAATCCTGCGGACAGGCTGAAACAGAAGATCTCGCAAACAACTCAAGAAGGCTGCTACCACTAATTTGCAACTGAAATGGAAATAATGTTTCATCACATTTATCCTAAGACAGCAGACAGGTTTTTTTTTTGTCATATGTAACTGTCACACAGGTGTAAAAAAAAAAAAATAGCTTGACCAATGTAAAACATGAAAACAATAAAGCCGTTATTCGGCCTACCCTTGAATGTCCTTAGTTCTGCAAACTTCTGGTTGACTCTATTGTGGCCAGCAGGAAAGTGCAAAATCAGGAAGCTTGTGGCACTAAAACCACCATTATATGAGCCTCAATGCAAATTGCAAAATGCATGCCGAAGTCAAAATTTTAGTCTTCAGTCGTTTTGGTTGAATTCCAAATTGTACATTCTGGTGAGTGCTCCACTGTGCTCCTTCAGCGGTATTCTAGTCCAAATCTGAGAAAGTGATGTCTGTTTACACATCAACTAAAACTGGGCACAGGCCAAATATCTCAGTCTGGATGGCCTTTATCTGATCTTTGGAACGGAGACTTCTAAATCCCAAACAGATCTCTGCCTGAGCCCAATGAAGCGCTCCATCCGCAACCACCAGCTAATTAGCATTCATACGGATATAAAAATCTATTTACTGATCCATTAGCTTAGCTAAGCCTTAGCATAGTCCAAATTGTTCACGTCTGATGACTCATCGGGGACTTGGGTTAGCCAACGGCGCGTCGCTAAAGCTAGCTACTTAGAATGGGACGGTCTGAGGAGTGTAAAGTCAAGTCAAGTGCTGTTGAGGAGCAGAAGTCACACCTTTTCCCCACTACAGTAATCGGTGTGTTTTCTAAGCAGGTTTTTTTCTTACTTCTCAAGAGGTACAGGTAGCCCGAACACATGTCTATTTGCAGAGAATAGAAGTACTGCTGTCACATGAAATCTATTATGTCATCCCTCAAACTAACAGCTGCAAACAGCAATTACATTCTGGCCCAGATAAGCAGAGCGACACAAGCTCCGGGGATGGCACTTCATATATGGTGAGTGACTGAAAGAAGCTGAACTATTCGTCGTGACGTTTTCATTTGAGAATAGGACCGTCCAAATGGCGTCCTGAGATAAGTGTGGTATGCACCAATGACTGAGATCAGACCTGTTGCAATTTCTTTTAGGAACGATGAGCTAGCAAAATAATCCGTGTCATCGCCATTCATCTCATTTTTGCCTGGGACACATTTGTATAAGCGCCTCAGCCAATGGCAACGCGAACACATTCTTACAAAAGCAATGATGCAACATTCTGAGGCGAAAAGGCAAACTTTTGAAAACTCCGATTGGACCGTAGCCTAGCATGGCTTTTCAGCTCCCAGTATTAGGCAAGTAATTGCTTCCTCTACGGTGAGAACCT